TTTATTTATTTATTTATTTATTTATTTATTTACAACAGCCCGCTGACCTTTCATTGTTTACAGAGCATGTGAAATAAAATAATATGTTTTTATTGCGATTCTTATCACTACCTGACCATACACCGTCTTTTCCCACTGAAACGCCAAGTTAACAAAGCGTGGGTGGAATTCATATATTCGACATAAATCAACGATACGAGAACCGTATCATTGGCATTCAGACAAAAAAACAAACCCATGCATGGCTGAACATTCGTCAATTTTTCGTATAATCCAGATCAATTTTGATAATTTCACGTTTTACACAAAATGCTAATGTATTCATGGAAATGTATTACTGCCGGGGTTCACTGTTACTTCGTTCTGCATATCTTATTGACGGCTCGTGCTTGTGTATTCACTCGACAAGCTGCCTGAATCGATAAAACTGAAATACAGCTAGATAATATGGATAATTGGACATACAGTATGGCGATTATGTTGCTATGGTTGCCCTAGAGAAGATTGTGAACAATGCAGTTAACTAGACGTCATAAACGTTTTAAAAATCAATAGCTTATGGCTACATTTTAATGTGTTTATTAGGGGTTAAATGTTTGGGATGTAGTTCAGCATACTCGAGTGAGTGGGGCTGGGTGTGGTGGGTTGATAGTAAATCCAGGGACGAGAAAATACCGGCACTGTGACGCATAGAAACCGATACAACCCTATTCAACGAACTCAGTTATGTTTTTCTCAACATTAAAAGCGTCAATTTGATAATAAATTATTCAAACAGAGAATAAAAACGAAATTAATTTGTGTCAGTAAGAATTCTACCAACAGACGTGAATTGAAACGGTAATCATTTCATCGTCGAACGAGGTCGAACCGTATCGGCGTTGTCATCAACGCGAAACATTATATCGGTAAATATACCTATTTCCGTATTCACTTCACGTGTACCGAGAATCACGTCAGACATGGCTGTTGATACAGGTTTTGAAAAGTGTCAAGAAAGGTACACTACATTTTTTGTTTTGTTATTATTATTAAAGAGTGTGTAAAATAGACTATTAACACTCATTGGACGCTTTCAGTCACGTGACCCCGTGTTATAATACGTAGAATATGCTAATTAGCCTATATCGTCTGGTGACTGTCAGGTCACATCACAAACTAAATTAAAACACCTTGACCGTTGTCGCTGATCTTAACAAGTACTTTAGAGTATCAAATGACTATCACGTTATCTGCACACTGAACTATCGTGAAGATTTACTTACTCAGTGTCCAGTGTTGAACGTTCCAAACAATGTACTAGTATTATTCTATTGAATAAGGAATTTCTCTCATCTAAACAGGAAGTGACGAAACGATTTTTCTAATGTTAAGCTTCAACCTATGCTTTCTAAATCGTAACATTTAATGTTGTATATAGTTTGACGGGCATTTTATTCTAGTTTGGATGATTAGCACACAATACTTTCTCATGACATTCTTTCACGTACATGGGTAATGTGAACATTTTTTTAATGTTGAGCGATACCAGCAATATCTTCTTAACCGTTAATGATATATATTGCCGATTGATACTGAATTATTTAATTAATTAATTAATCAATTACGGACGATGGCGAAGTTGTTTCCTTTTAGTTTTGAACGTTCATCGTTTCAGTTCCATCTACTAGTATGCTAATTGCACAGGTAGAGGAAAGATCCCATAAGACAGATAAAGGTGATATTGTTCATCTACGACTTCATTTCAAAGGTGTCTATTGGGAGTGATTGGTTTGTCTTCCCTACTTAACTATTTATTTTGTGTAAACGAGTATCGATCTACATCGACCGACTTTTTTGCTTGATTGCAGGAAAGGAGAAAGTAAAGGAAGTTTACGAGAATAAAGTGAAACAAGAAAATGCCATTTACGACTTTTGCGGCAACGCTTATTCCGTCGTTAGCGATCAGTTGGGGCGCATTCACCGACGTAATAAGCGTATATTCTGCGACAACTTTATCTGGGACGGCTTGGTGAACGGTTGTCGTAAATTCCATGCTAACAAGTACAGAATCAGCCGTTTTTTATGCCAAAACCTAGTATGTCGGTGCTGTCGGAGATTTTGGCATGCCTGCTGCTACAACAAGTGCTGTGTTTGCTTGTCCAGGATTCCGTATGACTCGCTCATCTCGTTCTTTTTTCTTGGGGGAGGGTCGGTGGCGTTTACGTATTTCTTCCACCAGGCAGTTACTGGGAGTATGGATCTCGCTATCGCTTTTCTCGGTGACAGCATGCGGGCGATGTAAGTATGATACTAGTAGTACGAGGGAATATAATGTATAGTTGTTGTTCTCTCCTCTACCTATATTTTATATTCAACTCGTCAAAAATCAGTGAAAATAAATTCCATACAAAACACCCAAAAAATCTTTTTCAGCGAAAATTAATTCCAGCTAAAAGTAGTTTCACAGTATTCGCAAGCCGTTTTCCACGGCCAGGATTCATATTTATAGACGATCTCGTGATTGACCAATCAAAGAAACCGTCAGTATAAATACAATTGCTGAAAATACACAACACCTGCCGGGGTGCAAGAAAACTACAAGAGATATTAGTGAAATAAAGGAATTGCCGGGAGAGAAATTGATTATTGGATGGCGTGTTTGAATCAACAGCTATCATGATGACCAGTGCGAGCCTTGATTGCTTTAGTTCCACAGTGTTTATTTCCAACAACTGGGGAGTGATGACCAGATCACGTGACACGAAAGCAATTTGTGCAATCTTATCACTCTCATAGGACGAAATTCAAAACGCGTAGTGAGTTGATTAAAACCTCAACGTCGCTTACACGTCATTACCGATAATTTCAATGTAATGCCCATTTGTTGGTTGGTATCACGTGACAAAGAAGGCAGCTCCGATTATCACAGAATCCCGCTGTCGTAGGCCACACTAAATGATGAATATGACGTGACAAATGATATGCAGACATGTGTGACGTCATTAAAATACAGCAGGTGTAGAAACTAAATGTCATCACTATCTCATTATGTAGAGTTACTATCTCTTTACTCGCTACTTTGGCTCAATTTATCTCATTATAGGAGTCAGCAGCCTGGAAATGTAATCTTGAGACTCACTAAATTGACAACTGTGTATGTCATTAAGGAGGAAATCATACAAACGAAAAATATACACTGTTTATATGTATTTATTCTAGAATCAACATTAACTTTCAAGTCCCGTACGATAAAACAGGAAGCTCATACACACACCTTAAATTTGCGCTCCCACTTTGTAGTATGTGCGAAGCATCGCCCTCTGACGGATTAGTGTAACCATAATTGAAAATGAGACAATCAGTTGGTTTGGTAACAATTCCTGAAATATCAAAATAATAAAGCTAGAGTTCAAGTTCATTGTGTCTAATCAACAAATCAAACATATTGTTTACTGTTGTAACCACTCGACGACATTTTACTATTTTTTTTCGAGATACTTCTAAATTTGATTTCTGGATTCTGTTTCTGATGGTTATAGGATTCAGCGAGAAGCTTTGTGCAGATCATGCGGAGTGGAAGTGCAACTTGAATACGTTAAAAACATGACACCTTTATTCAATTCACTTTTCTATTTAACATATCAGGGTTCCCATGGCACAGATGGGAGCCATTGGTCTTGGTGCCATGATGTCGTGGATAGCAATGTGGATTCTTATCATAGGTATCGCATCTACTGGTCCGACCCGACGTTGGTGTTGTGGAAGATATGGTTGCAGACTATATGGGAGAATTATAGTGGGCACGGTAAGTGCACTTTGAAATGGCGTCAAAATCGTGACGTCAGAATGTCGTCTGCTTGGCATACATATTCAAAACATACTTCAAAATAATGGATCCAAATTGTGCCGTGAGAATGTCGTCTGCTATACACAGTCATCTAATTCGATTTGTTAAACATAAATTACTCCGCAGACTATTAAATTTAACCCAATACTCTTCGAATGAATATATTATTTGATTTGATTTCCTGTAATGTTGTTAACGTCCAAATGTTTGGTCACGTGGAAAAAGTAAACGAACGTAACTTGCATAAATGCATTATGGGGAATGCCCTTCATGCAAGAGTACATGCTATTGCTTTTTAACAAAATACAAAAAAAGTAAACTGAGGAGAAATACATTTAATCAACAGTATCTGCGGTGCGAATGTCATTATACTATTTAATGTTGAAAACCTGTTCAGTTGTATAGTGGTTCTGGCACGGTGATCACCATTTCCGCTCATTCATCTAGTTTCGCATCATATTAAAAAAAGTGTGCTTTATTGCTACTTGTCCGACTGCTGTTGCGTTTCATGGTTGTGAATACCGGCTTCATTATCCGTGTCCAGTTCCTACAAATTCCATAATACCGACGAATTATCCCAACATGCCTAGCGGGATTAATTTATTTCTCTTTGTGAGCCATAAGTTATTTGCCCTTAGTGACCTGTGAACTATAAATAAAAAAAATGTCTAAAAACTGATCGTAAACCGCACAGTATGAACTCGTCCCTTACCTGCCCTTCAGTTTGGTTAAATAAAAATGAAAAATTCATGACAAATTCAGACATGAACAAAATACTCTAAGATGAATGTTACACCGCCACTCTATTTTCAAGAATTATTTCAAGTCATGATATCACACTCTCAATGCTCTACAAAAGAAAAAAAGTGACATTTGCGTAGATCATAACAATTGCTTCAACATGGCCGACTGACTGAGTGACAGCGTACTACGTGATCTAAATACAAACTATCGTGTTTCTTAAGAACATGAATTCAAAGCAAAATATTTCCTTTATGTTCTGAACGCTAACCTAAATTGGACTTACGTAGTGCTTGTATAACATATTGCGAATTAGTATAGCTTAAATTATCCCAATTTACGTCATTTTACTGTGTCTGAAACTGTGATCTGCACAACAACAGGATATGATATTCCGTGGAGGCTCGACTCATGTGTTAATTCCACGGTACATGCAACTGCCCCGCAATGAGTTCATATTATGCCACATAAACTTATTCATCTTTGTACTAGTAAAGCCAGTTTATATTGAGAACGCATTTCCTTTCTTGTTTTCCAGTTAATAGTGACCTGTTACTTCATGGCCTTTATATGGATGTTGTTGATTGGTGTATTGATGATACCGACAGTGTTCACCTTTATTATAGACCAAGTGTGTGCGGTAGAAATTGTCAAGCTTATAAAAGAGATATGTGTAGATACATCGAGTATAAGTGAGTCCAGTGTTAATAAAGTATCGTTAATAATAATGTCTTCGAGTTTACGGCCTGAGAGCTTCGGCCGCGTTTAAATTAATCCCGCATATAAGCTTGTGATGTCGACGTTTTGATTGTCGTACGTACGTCGTCTGCGAGACAGTTTCCCGCTCGAAAACGTATAGTCAAATTCAAGGCAAGGGGCAGTGTGGGTGTTTATTTTTTAACTGTTCCAGGCATTCATCATCGGGGATGCATTTGCTGCGCCCTCCCCCAAATCCATTTTTTTCTTGATGATTGCATTGTTATTATTTTCCTGCCCATTATTGCTACTATCCTATCCCTAACACGAATCGACTGGTTATTTTCGTGAACATGTTATAATATTACGACAGGATGCCAGTGCCACAGGTGGTGTTGTTACGTAAGTCAAAACACAACAATTTTGAAATCTAAATTTAAACAGAATAATCTAACAAAAATAACACACGATTTCAAGGTCAGTTATGTTTAATTTAAAAGAACTAGAAGAAAAAAACACTCACTCAAGAGTCATAAATATATGCATGTCCGTGAGGGCGTGGCACCCAGAAGCGAAAACATCATTTCCTTCGATGTGTATTTCAGTCACGTGCCTACATGTTGTACAGCATTGCTGCCACTTTGATTAAAGCTATGTCTCCAAGGTAGTGTCCTAGATGTCAGCCAGCGCCGTTATTATACGGAGTGTGTTACACATCAATCTTTCTGTATAGCACCGCAATAGTAACAGCGTTCAATTGACCTCGGCTTAATTGACGTAGCCCTCTCATATGTGATATCTTCAGCTATTTAAATAAATAATTACCCCGGCTGCTGTTTTTATTCAATAGATCAAGTAGGTTGTCGTGTTCACGAGTGACTATTTGTATTCATGTGTCTATTTACAATCCTTCAATGGTTTATTATAATACTGGACTCAGTGGTTAGGAAAAGGTTAAATTATGTCAGAGTTCACCCACAAACTCATTGAAAATAAAAGCGTTTCGAGAATCCGATTTTAGTTGTACTGAAAACAGATAAATTATGCTAAGATATACTAAACGTCATGTTATATTGTCCATGTCATTTTAGATCAGTTGTCGGTTTATTTGCGAAATGCTCGCCTGATATCGTCCTTTGAAATCCATACTACCATGAAGAAATAGACAATAGTCTCGTCAGCTAACCTTATAATTAACGGTTTATTTATAGCTGAACATTCAATGTAAATGACAATTTCCGGTCGTATTGGTTTTTATGTTGTTAATTTACGCTGATCGACATTATTATTTTATATTTTGTCGTCAAGTATCCCAATATTTATTTGTCGCGGATACTAGTATATAGCTGTTCTATTTATAGAAAATCACGTGGTACCGAATCCATTAATATTGATAAGCTAAAACATTGATCATACTTAGTACAGCTTGCAGCACATTTCCAAATACCTTATAACCGAACGTTATTCACAAAGGCCGATTTTAATCAACAAACTGTTGATCACAGCGTCGCAGAGGGCGCAATATACTTAGGCAATCTGAGTAGATATGATTAGTAGTGCGCAGCGCAGTGCCTATCACTAACAGTCATATTGTTGCCAGCTAAGTTGCTGACTGGTTTGATATGCGCGCCTGGAAATCATTACACGATTAAATCAAGTTGTTTCAAACCAACCTCAACAAGAGACGCCAAACTAATAGTGGGGGACTCAGACACTTCGAATATAAATAGAAGATCATGATGTGATTGCCTTTTAATTTATTTCATTCAAAGTTATCCAAGTAAAATGTATGCTAGACGGAGTATGCCAGGATACAATCTGTTCTGTGTCTGGTCTTTTAGTTGTCTGCCGAGGCATGTCATAACGCTTGTGAATGAGTGAATTTAGATGAACGGCCGGAACAACACAGTTCTACTAATCATGCAAAGATCTCGAGATGCACATAAGAGGGGAGGCAAGGGGGGTAGCTGGTACGGTTTTACGGGAAATAAAAAGGGCTTTTCACAATTTACGAAGAAAAAAAGACGTTTTTACAGTTTACAGTGTTAACAAATAGAACATTGAATGGTCCGAAGAGCTCTCCGACTCAAATTCTCCGCCATTGCTGCGCCGTGTGAAGAGACGCATGCGCATATTACCCTCGTAATGCTCTTCATTCGGTTAGAGGGCCTTGTTTACGTCTTGACATTCAATTTTGTAGTGAATTGTGTCATCTAGTCGTTTTACAGTTTCTAAAATGTAATTTCCCTGGATTATTCTTTACGATTTTTTTATTTGGATGTGAATTTTTGTACGTACGAGAAAAATGACACATTTTTACAGTGTACGAAAACAATATTTGATTGATTACGTTGTACGTCTAGCCTGTGATTACAGAATTACGGAATTTATTTTTTCAATTTATGTTGTACGAACAAAAAAATATTGCAATTACGTTGAACGAAAATAACCCTTGCCCCCCCCCCTCACATAACAACCAGTTAGCAACTTGGCTGGCAATGTTGCTGTTTTGTTGTTCGGGACAATATGGCGGTGACGGTATTTGAACTTTAGTGCATTTCGCTGTAGAAATCCGAGTTAGGTGTTAACAATTTAAAATGTAAAATGTTTATAGATTGAATTTGATCAAGGTATCTCATCTATGTAGTATCTCTTCACAAAGATTTATTCAATGAGGTAAATCACTATTGGACATCAAAACGCAAAGATCATGGTTGAATAATTGTGTCTGTTTATGGTGTTTATATTACAATACATTAATTTCGTGATATTTACATTAAGTACTAACTGAGTAATTATTTTGAATTCTCAGTTGAGCTACTTGGTCTAGGGTTGGCACTGGCGTTAAATACACTCACGAAAATCATCGCGGTGCGAAGCATCCAAGACGCCACGGATACAGTGACGGGCTTACTGACGGACGCTACAGGAATGATCAACCAAGTAACAGAAAGTAGGTATTTCGTCTTGCCCATGGAATTGAACACTAAAGTAGAAGCCTACTCATAAATTAAAAAACCCAGAATTTATTCATTTTGCAATGAATTGTACTCCAAGGCAATATAAGGATATTGACCTGAAAAAAAGTTGAGGTGTCACCAGTCTTTTTTTCGAGAAATTGATAGTTGTATTTTAGTGGAAAGTCGCCATTTTGACACTGTTATAACACTATGGCAGAGATATTATGCAATATTTTTTTTTTAAATTGTATTTTCAGGGTACAATCATCTGTACACACTAACTGACCACATAGCAGGGTATTTTTTCAGCCCGAGATACTCGGCTGGGAATAATACAAAACTTCGCTGGTAATCACTCATATCTGCTGAAAGTATCGTTGAATTATATAAAAAGTACATTTAATGGATTTTATTGAGCGTATGACCACGGATCCACACTACTGGACATAATTGGTTCAACGCCAACAACACATTCCTTCGGAAGTATTAAAGGGCGGTGGTCGTCGCGCCGCGTCCTGTTCGATATGGGACTCATACACAACGCGTGTAAACTACATTGTTTGTTTACATGAAACTCGAACACGTGCTACGCGTCGACCACCGCGCCCTTTGACGTGCAGCTGAATTTGAACCTCAGGCCTCGTTATTACTCATATTACTTCGGTATGTACAACATCAGATTACGCTCACAAGTGGCCCTGATTCAAATCATCGCAAACCATTAAATGGAGCCTTACGAAAACTTCCGGTATCAACGTCTAGTAGATAACCTTTACTCGCCGTAAACGGCGCTGTTTAAAAGCTCTTCGTGTGCCGCACATGATACTGTAGATTATGTTGACCTGTGGTGTGTGTTCTGGGTAAACAGACATATAGAGCGTATACACACTGATTAAACAATCAAATATACGAGTACAAATACGTTGTTATTATAACAATCAAAACATTCTCCCATGTGGTGCAGTTTCAACAATGTTATTTGAACTAAGCTGCTCTCCTGGTTATGGCCGCGCGGAGAACCCACATGTGTTGCCTAGCAACAACATAGGCAATCTTATGAGATGTTTCTGGTTAATCTTACTTAAGTAAACGTAATATCCTCAGAATGTCACAGTGGCACACTCCATTAGCGTCCACAATAACATTTCCCATGGACATTACACATACGTGGTTCATACTATCGAATAAAGAAGCATTTAAAAAGAAATATATCTTTTTAGAAACTACTAGGCTTCGTTCAAACATACAACTGTGTCAGTGTGTTTAATCGTCTGTCATTTAGAATATAGTAACATTTCCAAATCTTTTATTTTTATTGACGGACTAATACATATCAAACACATATGTGACGACATAAATGGCCCACGTGTCATCCAGTGACGTCACAGAATCGTTTGACGCCAGAGAGCGTGACTTGTAGGAAAGAGTACACTCTTCACTGGAAATGAAAAAATGCTCAACTCGAAATTCTAGAATTGGAAAAATATACTAGTGAATATTTTGTTGGAACTGTAGGTATCAAATCGAGGAGCGAAAGATATGAAATTGAAGGGGTGGCAATCTGCATGGACGAATTGTACAACGTGTGCGAATATGTAAGTATGTTTTTTTATAAATTGGTGTTGGAATCGTGCGTTCAAATCAAGAGGCGAAAGATGTGAAATTAAAGGGGTGGCAATCTTCATTGACGAAATGTACAACGTTTGCGAATATGTGTGTATGTTTTCATAAATTGGTGTTGGTAGTGTGCATGTTGTAGCGTGTCACATTCTGATTGGTTCAACTGTCACTTAGCTTCATTTTACAGGGGTATGCGAACCATACTCAACAACGCGACCATTGGTTTAGAAAGTGTGGTTTTATTAAAATTAGTCTCAAGTGTACAAAATTGTTGATTAATAGTTTGTAATAGTTTCTTTAAGAAAATTGAACCTGTAATATAAATTTTGTTTACGGAGCCATGTTTTAAGATTGGGTTCGAGCATGGATTCCATGGTTTGATGAAGGACGCATATCTTTGTTGGTCACGTAGTGTACAGTCTTCAAATATCTATTTATCTTGAGAGCAATTTAAATTTATCAAAGGCAATTTTTAATCCCATACTTACTATACTGTCTCGGCCAGTGAACGCCCAGCTACACTGTGTAACCTTCTGGGTCATTAAACGGAGTTTCTTTTTTGTTTTTCTGACAGGGCACTGGGTTATGGCTTGGATTCGGTATAGCGTGTGGATCTGCTATGTTCATGGTGTTTGGTTTCGTAAGTTCTCGCACCCCATACACAATGCATACACAAAGCCGTTTTGTAACCAAAACCTGTGAATTTCCATTTTTTATTCAATTTATATTTTATTTAATATGCAAGCATTTAACATGGCTGACTAACAGCCATTTTACAACTAAATTTGACAATTCTCGTGGACACCACGACAGATTGATCGAATACGCGAAATTCGTTACTGGTCGGCATATGGTGGTATAGTTTGAATACAATAAGCAATGGCGGACTCCCCCCCCCCCCCAGTTGAAAAAAATATTCAATTTGTTTTTGTATAATATAAAAAATCATTAACTTAGTCTGGCGATTTTAAAGCTTGGACCCCCCCCCATTAAAAAATTCTGTATTCGCCCCTGATAAGAGAGGGTGAGTGGTGACCGTGTTATATTCCTTATTATGTTTATTATTCACAGTTTTACAGCATACCTGTACTAACAGCGAACTACGCCCATATCCACGATACACCGGACAGAAAGAAAAAGAAAAAGAAACGAAAGAAGGTGAAACACTACAGCAGAGAACTCAAACCCAAAACTACCGAGGAACGATACGTAATTGTGGAAGATATGCAGGGAAAACAGAAAGCCGTCCCGGAAAAAGATTATGCAGAGACGACAGGCCTGGAAGTACTGGAAAAATACCGCGAGTACCCAGAGTATCGGTATTGGGATTATCCACGGTTCAGTGAAAAGGACTACCCCCCGTTTGTTCCTTTGCGTTGCGTGGTTGAGTTCGACGACGGCGAAACCATATCGAGTGTGTCCGACAACGCGTCTTATTATACCAGTGTAGAGAACGTGCCACGAGGGGGTTACTATAGTGACTCGATTGATAGTGATGACGACATACCAGGTATCCAGGTGTAACGCTTCCGTCTAGCAATAAACCGGAACATTGATTTGATCCAGCAGTTGCCGTTCCTGTGATCACGATACGGATGTTAGTCAAACGTAGAAATATATGAAACTCCATAACTATCTTCTGTGATATTTTGTCTTTATGAAATTCAGTTTCGTATTCGCATTATATAGTGCTTTCTTTATATTATACAGTCCCACCACTTGCATCTCTATGTTATGCAGTCCAGTATTAATGTTGTACAGTATTTTCTTTATGTGATGCAGTCCCATCTCTATGTAATACATTCCTTTCTTTATGTGATGCAGTCCCATCTCTATGTTATGCAGTCCACTATTTATGTTGTACAGTCCAGTATTTATGTGATGAAGTCCCATCTCTATGCTATGCAGTCCAGTATCAATGTTGTACAGTATTTTCTTTATGTGATGCAGTCCAGTATTTATGTTGTACAGTATTTTCTTTATGTGATGCAGTCCAGTATCAATGTTGTACAGTATTTTCTTTATGTGATGCAGTCCCATCTCTATGTAATACATTCCATTCTTTATGTGATGCAGTACCGTATTTATGTTGTACAGTATTTTCTTTATGTTATGCAGTCTAGTATTTATGTTGTACAGTCCAGTATTTATGTTATACAGTCCAGTATTTATGTGTTGCAGTTCCATCTCTATGCTATGCAGTCCTGTATTTATGTTGTACAGTGCTTTCATTATGTTAAACAGTCTAGTATTTATGTTATACAGTTCAGCATTCATGTTGTACAGTGCTTTCTTTATGTTATACAGTCCAGTAATTATGTTATACAGTCTCATCTCTATGTTATGCAGTCCAGTATTTAGGTTGTACAGTCTTTTTTCTATGTGATGCAGTCCAGTATTTATGTTGTACAGTGTTTTCTTTATGTGATGCAGTCCAGTATTTATGTTGTACAGTGTTTTCTTTATGTGATGCAGTCCAGTATTTATATTGTACAGTGTTTACTTTATGTGATGCAGTCCAGTATTTATGTTGTACAGTATTTTCGTTATGTGATGCAGTTAAGTATTTATGTTGTACAGTATTTTCTTTATGTGATGCAGTCTCATCTCTATGTAATACATTCCTTTCTTTATGTGATGCAGTCCCATCTCTATGTTATGCAGTCCACTATTTGTGTTGTACAGTCCAGTATTTATGTGATGAAGTCCCATCTCTATGCTATGCAGTCCAGTATCAATGTTGTACAGTATTTTCTTTATGTGATGCAGTCCCATCACTATGTAATACATTCCATTCTTTATGTGATGCAGTCCCGTATTTATGTTGTACAGTATTTTTTCTTTATGTTATGCAGTCTAGTATTTATGTTGTACAGTCCAGTATTTATGTTATACAGTCCAGTATTTATGTGTTGCAGTTCCATCTCTATGCTATGCAGTCCTGTATTTATGTTGTACAGTGCTTTCATTATGTTAAACAGTCCAGTATTTATGTTATACAGTCCAGTATTCATGTTGTACAGTGCTTTCTTTATGTTATACAGTCCAGTAATTATGTTATGCAGTCCAGTATTTAGGTTGTACAGTCTTTTTTCTATGTGATGCAGTCCAGTATTTATGTTGTACAGTGTTTTCTTTATGTGATGCAGTCCAGTATTTCTGTTGTACAGTGTTTACTTTATGTGATGCAGTCCAGTATTTATGTTGTACAGTATTTTCTTTATGTGATGCAGTCCAGTATTTATGTTATACAGTATTTTCTTTATGTGATGCAGTTCCTATCTCCATGTTATGCAGTCCAGTATTTATGTTGTACAGTGCTTTCATTATGTTATACAGTCCAGTATTTATGTTTTATGTGATGCAGTCCCATCTCTATGTTATGCAGTCCACTATTTATGTTATACAGTCCAGTATTTATGTTATGCAGTCCCATCTCTATGTTATGCAGTCCAGTATTTATGTTGTACAGTCTTTTCTCTATGTGATGCAGTCCAGTATTTATGTTGTACAGTGTATTCTTTATGTGATGCAGTCCAGTATTTATGTTGTACAGTGTTTTCTTTATGTGATGCAGTCCAGTATTTATATTGTACAGTGTTTACTTTATGTGATGCAGTCCAGTATTTATGTTGTACAGTATTTTCTTTATGTGATGCAGTCCAGTATTTATGTTATACAGTATTTTCGTTATGTGATGCAGTTCCTATCTCCATGTTATGCAGTCCAGTATTTATGTTGTACATTGCTTTCATTATGTTATACAGTCCAGTATTTATGTTTTATGTGATGCAGTCCCATCTCTATGTTATGCAGTCCACTATTTATGTTGTACAGTCCAG